TATATATATATATATATATATATATATATATATATATTGTGTTGAGAAAACATTTTAAAAATATTGAAATAATATTTGTAGTACTTAATATATAATACATAAAATGTACTTAAATTTTACTTAATGAAATGAAATGCAAATATGAAGATTTAAAGTTTAATATATAAAATTGTTTTTACAAAATTATGTTTTATCATTCTCATCAATTTGATAATTTGCAATCTGTTATTACTTAATAATTAATATTAGAATTATTACTTTATGATATGTTATATTTTTAATTATTTTTTTATGTATATATAATACAGGTAATAAAGTTAGATAATTTAATTTATCATTATAATTAGAGGAATTTTTAAAAATGATGATCGAAGTGTATATAAATCATTAAAAAATGAAATGCTAATATGAATATTTCATTTCATAATTGAATATAAGAAGTAAAAAAAAAAATAATTGAGTGGCCTTATATTTACATTTTATACATTCCAAATATTTTTTACAATACAAATATACAAAACTGAGAATACTCCTATTGCAATGTATTCAGAAACACGTCTACTTTTATATGTATTCTGTTTAAAGAATGTTGAAGTTTTTGAATTTTAATTCCAGTTTTATAAATGTTATTTGTTATCTAATTGAATATTAGATATTAAAATATATATTTTACAAATTGTAAAATCCTTTAATATTACAAAATATATTTATAGACATGTAAAATGTATTTTCTTTATATATTTATCATTGTTTCATACATAAATATAAAAAATGGATTGTGATAAATATGGCATTCCATTTATATAGTATTTTTGTAGTGCAAGAAAAATATATAATGCTTCATATAACATACTTTATAATATTTAATTAAAAAGAAAACATTTTTAATTTTAAATATTATATATATCATTAATGTGCATATATTAATTAATTACGTTTTTTCAATTAAATTGACAAAGATACATCATAATAGAGAAATATTTCACTATATATAATATAACACAATTATATAAATTGATTTATATAAAATAATTTATATAAAAAATTATATATGAAAATATATAATATATATAAATATTTTATTCATTAAATTAAAGAAGTTTATTTTTGCAATATTTTTTTCATGTAAAATTTTACTTGATTTAATTTTTTATTAAATGGTTTGATTTTATATTAATTACTACAAACATAAATAACAAAAAAATATGTGAAATGTATTTTGTAGAAATTTCATTTATGAAAACAAGAACTTTTTTGTAAGAGAAAACAAATATATACAAATAATGTTTTGTCAATTATGCAGTAAATAATATAA